ATCTTTTCTGCTGCAGTGATAACAAATTGCCACATACTTACCTGCTTAAATCAGTACATCTTTATTATTTCACAGTCCTCTAGGTCACATGCCTGAGACGGCATGACTGATTTCTCTGCTCCCAGTCTTCAAGGTCAAAATCAGGGTGTCCACCTGCTGGGCTCTGATTGGGAGGTTCTGGGAAGCACCTGCTTCCAAGTGCATTCATGTTGCTGGCAGAATCCAGTCCTTGGACCTGCGGGACTGAGGTCCCAGCTTCCCTGCTGGCTGTCAGCTGCAGCCCTTCCCTAACTCCTAGAGGCCCCTCTCCAGTCTTGCTCATGGTCCCCACAGCTCAGAGCCAGCAACAGTGCATGGAATCCTTCTCATGCTTAGAATCTCTCTGACATCGGACACATCTGTCTTGGCTCCAGCCTGAGAAAATTCTCTGCTTTTTAGAGCTCATGTGATGGCACTGGGCCCACTCAGAGAAACCAGGAAAATCTATTTTAAGGTCAACAGATTAGTAGCTTTAATTATGACTGTGCAGAGCCTAGACTAGTGGTTCCTAGACTCACAGCACCTAGACTAGCGGTGCCTAGGCTAGGAGCAGCTGGTTTCTCTAGGCCCTCACCCCTTATTCTCTCCATCCCCTTCTTCCTGGCCCCCTTTCCTTTCCCATTTCCATTCCCACTTTCATAAGCATTTCTTCTTTGCTTAAAATACTGGATTTTCCTGCCCCTGGTATGCTCCAGGCTCAAACAAACAGGCTAAGACAGCAGCTAGTTGTCCTATCATCAGTGTTTTCTGGAACATAAAGTTTTAAAAAAGGTACAGGAAACTTGAAGGGGCAGCTTCCAAATCCTGCCTACCACGGTATATTAGAAATATTCGAAATTATAGAAAACCTGAAGGATATTTGCCTCCTAAAGATCCAAGTTGGAAATAGTTTAGAGGAAGGTACCTCAATAGCAAGAGAAACACAGGAGATGCCACAAGAGAACTGAGGAGGACAAGTGACCAAAGAATCTGTTCCAGATTACTGTTATCTCTCAACAAGGGGAAATGTGAAGTTAGGATCACAGAAACAAGGAAGTGTAGCTAAGAATAAGCGGGAATTACAGCTAAGAAAATTTTCAGGAAAATAGGGCTGGAGGTGGCACGAGAAAGGGATAGGAAAACGTGCTGATGCTTCTAAAATTAGGAATAAAACAAAACTAATAATACCAATAAATGTGATACATATTGGTATGAGTCACAGGTAAAGGGCGGCCACCCTGAGAAGAAAACTAGGATGTATAACTTTTAAACCAACCAAAGAAAACCTTACTATACTAAATGGAGCACAGGTATGGAGGGGGAAATACCAGCAAAAAAAAAAAAAAACACACAATAAATACACGTGGACCAGGCACAGTGGCTCATGCCTGTAATCCCTGCACTTTGGGAGGCTGAGGTGGGAGGATCGCTTGAGCTCGGGAGTTCAAGTCCAGCCTGGGCAATATAGGATGACCCCATCTCTACAAATATAGAAAATTAGCCCAGTGGGTGGCACATGCTTGTAGTCCTGGCTACTTGGAGGCTGAGGCAGTAAGATGGCCTGAGCCCAGGAGTTAGAGGCTGCAGTGAGCTATGATCACACCGCTGTACTTCAGTGTGGACAACAGAAGAAGACCCCGTATCTTAAAACAAACAAACAAAAAAGATGGCATAGCTAAATCCTAAACAGTAATAATTACAATAAAGGTGAATTACTAAACTCATCACATAAATCACTGAAACTCCCAGGTTGGATTTTAAAATATCAAATAATATACACTGTTTTCAAAAGGCAATGTTAAATGTAAAGTTTAAAAATGATAGGTGCTGTATCTGCCAAGAAAGGCTACTTTGTTTGTTTGTTCGTTTCTTTTAGCGACTACAATATGCTTTATTGTTTTTGGAAAAGGCTCAGAGTTTGGCTTTAAATCAGGCTGCACGCTTTTCATCAGTCTCACATCTCTCTCCCCATGCCAAACTGGCACCACTTAGCAATGCCGCATTAAATCCCAGGCAGACTTTCAGAAATTTCCAGAAGCCTCCCATCCTCCTGACCTCCAACCTCTGAAATCCAAGACCTCCCCTGTTAGCCCAGGACCCCTACTTAGGGTCCAGTCTGGAACTCACCAACCCGACCCACTTTGGACCAGCCTGGTAGCAGGAGTAGAGGCTGGAGGCAAACACCCAACTCTGTGCCAGCACCTGTGCCACTGGGGACTGGAGCCCAGGGTGTGACATGCCTGGAGGAAGCAGAGGGCCCTGCATGAGTCACCCTGGTGCTCAAGGCTGTCACAGCTCCAGTGGCCCCGCCTCCCCAACTTGCAACTCCAGGCCATTGGTCTGGAAATGCTTGGATTCTTGCTCCCTCTCAGACCCCAACCCTTCTTTTCTCCTTCTCTTTCCTCCTGGCCGCCTTATCTTTTCCCATTTCCATTCCTGCTTTCAGACGCGTTCCTTCTTTGTTTAAAACACAGATTTTCGCCTGGACACTGTGGCTCATGCCTGTAATCCCAGCACTTTGGGAGTCCGAGGTGGGCGGATCAGGAGGTCAGGAGTTCAAGACCAGCCTGGCCAACATAGTGAAACCCTGTCTCTACTAAACATACAAAAAAAAGTAGCCAGGTGTGCTGGCAGCCGCCTGTTTTCCTAGCTACTCGGGAAGTTGAAGCAGGAGAATCGCTTGAACCTGGGAGGCGGAGATTGTAGCGAGTTGACATTGTGCAACTGCACACCAGCCCCTGCAACAGTGCCAGACTCTGTCTCAAAAAAAAAAAAAAAAGGCAAGATTCTTTTCGCCCCGGTGCACTCTAGGCTCAATGAAACCAGCTGAAGACAGCAGTTTGCTGTCCATCATCATGCTGCTGTGTTTTCTAGAAGATTCTATCCTGATGAAAAGCACCTCCAGACTGGTTGAAAACGGAAGTTACTCTTCCTTGGAAAATCCCTAACAAGAATAGGCTAGGATCCCGCCCAGTGTATCTCAAAACCGCGGCGGGGCGGGGTTCTGAGCAGCCTTTATAATTAGCCGGCGTGGGAGCTCCGAAGCGATTCATCAGCCGGACTCCACTTCGACCGCGCCCCTTGTACCCTGCGCTCCAGGTCTACAATGGCAGCGATCGCCAGCACTGCGTTCCTTCTGTGCCTCTCCTTTCTGCACCTGCTGTCCGGCTGGTCCGGGGCAGGGCGGGCGGGTGAGTTCGGGGATGGAGCCTAAGTGGGGCGGGGGGCCAAACCTGGTGGGCTGAGAACTGCAGCGGGTTTCAGAGGAGGGGAGGCTTCTGCAAGGACTGGCGCGATCTCCCGGAACATCGCGGTCTCCCGAACATCGCCGTTCCCCCGAATATCGCGGTCCCCCCGAACATCGCGGTCCCCCCAAACATCCCCGTTTCCCCGAACATTGCGGTCTCCCTGAACATCGCTGTCCCCTGGAACATCGCTGCCTCCCCGAACATCGCCGTCTCCCTGAACATCGCGGTCTCCCCACACTTGCCCGGCTGAAGGCACTCAGTTCCACCCCGCGGCTCCTTTCCGCGGGATCGGCTTCCTGCGGCTTCTGCCTGGCCAGGAGGCTTCCAGAAGGACCTGCACGATCTCCCCGAACATGGCGTTCTACCCGAACATCGCGATCCCCCGGAACATCCCGGTCTCCCCGAACATCTTCATCTCCCCGAACAACGCGATCTCCGCAAACAT